CCTGGCTCTGCCTCCCGAGTGCTGGGATTAAAGGCATGCGTCACCACCGCCCGGCGTATGTTTTTTTTTTTTTTTTTTTAAGTATTTTAGTATTTAAGGGGTTATTTTACCATCCCTACAATGTAATATCAGAGTATTTTCCCCCTTTAACAGAGACTCCATTAGCAAACCTCTCTGCTCTTTCCTCCACACTCAGCCCCTGCTAGGCTGGGGTCCGCTCTCTGCCGCTCTGCGTCCGTCCACCTGCTCTGGATATTTTATACAAGTGGGCTGTCGTGAGCTCTTCGGTGGTCCCTTCTTTCACGTGGTGTAGTGTTGTCACAGCGACTGGGGTTTGTATATTCTCGGTGCAGTTGAAGCAGCCCTATGAGGAAGGGGTCCGTAGACCAGCTCCCACTCCTGGAATCACCAGAGGTGCCTATGGCATCCCCATGGATGCCCCTGCACCCTTCCTTCTTGCTCCTCCTGAGTCAGACTGAGTCGTTTGGGTGCTGACATTGTTGCTAGTCACCCAGCAGGCAAAGTCTGCAGTTTGCCTTGGGGGCTCGCTTGCCCCAGCCCTGAGTCACCCCAACCCCTGTGCTTTGATGACGCCTAGTAGAAAGCAGGTATCTCGGGGATTTCCCAGATAAAGCTCCTGTGGCTGGCACATCAGAAAAAAAGGCCTTGCACGTGGGTTATGAGACCTCACCCTGTTCTGAGTGTGTGCGGTACAGTGAAGAGTGATGTAACAGGCCAGACCCAAGGTGCCCTGGCATCACCAGCCACCCTAGGGCTCCCTGCACCTTCTCCACCCCCACCCCCGTTCCCACCCCCAGGAAGCCGCCAGCGTTTCCAGAGAACAAGCCTTCTTCCGTGGGAAGGTCTAAATCTTTGCATCTCTGGATTTCTCGGATCCTAAAACCTGCACACATGGTGTCTGTGGGCCGTGCCATTGTCTGCGTTTCCTCTTTCGAGTGGGTGAGAGCCAGATTGGCAAGCACAGTGTGAATGAACGAGCGTGAACAGAGCCACTTGCTTGCTGATGTCTCTCTGATGTGTTTCTCCTCCTCTCTCTCCCCCCCCCCCAACCCCCAGCTCCGGAAGAGAAGGAAGTCATTAAAGGACAGTATGGCAAGCTGACGGATGCCTATGGCTGCCTCGGGGAGCTGAGGTTAAGATCTGGTGAGTATCCACGGCTCCATGCTGTGGGCAGTCCCTGGGGTTAGCCTGGGGAGGCCGTCCAGTTAGATACTCTGTGTTAACCACTTTCATTTCTGAAGATGGTGCTTTATGTTTCTCAGCTTGCTCCTCCGGGGGGCGTTGGGGGGGATAGAGAAGAGGGGTGACAGCAGCTTGACGGTTGTCTGTCTGGATTAGAGGAGGGCATGGTTTCCAGCCCTGGGTGCCGGGAAGTTTACCTGCTCCGTTGTCTCTCGGACCTAAGTTTTTCCAAGGTGGTCAGGCTTCTGCTCTGGCGTCGTCCACCGTTTGTGCTTTCCAGGCATCTGCCTCCTGAGGTGTGACTGATGGGTAGACTTTGACCACGGCTCATGCCATCTCGCCTGAAGCAGCATCACTGGACGTTCTGGGTGTATCTGGAGAGAGGAAGGGCGGGTGGGGGTGGGGGTGGCCAGGAGAGGAAAACTGCGACACTCTATGTGGGAGTGAGAGAGAAAGGAAACTGCGTCCAAACGGGTCTGACGAAAGAGAGAGGGAGCACACAGGAAGCAGTGGGCAGCTCTGCTTGCCCTGAGCCGGTGGCAGCCACCTCTGCCACCGTTCTGGAGTGTCTGTTCTGCAGCCATCCTTTCCTTCCTCCCGGCGAGGGGAGCCTGCTTTAGGTCGGTCCCACCTATCATCAAAGACCAGGTTTTGGAGTCCAGTGGCCTTTCCGGCCAAGGCCAGGGCACAGGTCACATTCCTAATGGGATTGGCTGGGGGAATTCCAAATTCAGGCCTTGGGGGCTTTTCCTGAGCTGAGCATGTGAAACTTCTCTGCGGCACACAGCCTCTGTTTGCACGGAGAGGGTTTTAGGGCTGGCCAGACAGCGTGATACGCTTGCCGCTATTTTTCTGGGTCATTTCTGTGGTGGGGTGGGTCCCCCCCCACCCCCGCAACTAGATATGATGATTACACTCCTCATTTCCAAATCGGAAATGTTTAGGAAAAACATTTGGTACTCACATGACAAAATGAACTTACTAGATGTTGGTCTTGTACCAAAGACTAGACAGGTTAATGTGTTCAGTCTTTAGCATCAGGCAGTGCGACAACCATCGTCTCCCTGTTTATAGAAAAGAAGAAAGGAGACAGGGTTCAGAGATTTTCCTGACTCACCTTAGGGTGAAGGGTTCAGCTGGGATTCACCGCAAGCCCAGCTGTCTTCAAACACTCCCCTCTTTTCCCGAGAATGTGAGCAGATGGGGTTGGGGCTGGGCTGTGTCTCTGTGGACTATTTCTGAAGCTGTAGAGCCCTGGAGCCCTGATCTTCCGCTGTGGGGATTGTAAGGGTGATGGTTTACTGAGGATGGGCCTTCCTCTGCGCCGCGCTGTGATCTGATGGTTTTAGTGTTAGCCTGCTCTCCAAGGAGGCCGGCTTGGCTGTCATCCGGCTGGTATACAGAAGGGAAGGCCTGGAAGCCGCCCTCTGGCTCTCCTCTGCAGTTCCCTTCCTCTGGTGTAACCTCTGGTGTGTGACACCCTGGCACTTGGCTGGGTTCACAGTCTGATCTTAAAGGTATAGTTGGCAGTTTTTTTTTAAACACAAATGAATGATACACTTGGACTCAGGGAAGCGTGGTAACGGACACCAGTTTGAGTCGTTTTCGGGTGGGACCTAGATTTTACACGTGTGCCCTGTGGCATCACAATCGGCCTCCTGTATCCTGCTGTTGGGACTGGTGTCCAACAACAGGAAGTGGCCCATGATGCATCGGACAGGGATTTTCCTGAGCTGTGAGCTGAGGTCAGATACTGGGCATTGGTGCTGAGCAGGATGGTGAACCTGTAAAGAATCCTTGTCTGAGTGAGCCTGGGTATCTGTGGGGTCCACTGCATAGAGTGGAGTGGCCGAGTGCTCTGCCCCCAAGCTGGCCAGGTCTGTCCATCCTCTTTCTCAGCTAGTACTCCCCCCACCCCTCTAAGGAGTGAGTGGATACAGCCTCCATTGGGCCAAGCCAGAACAGCCAGGGTGCCTGGTCAGCAGGAGGCTTGGGTATAATGAAGCCTCCAGCATGGTTTCTGATGTCCTCCCAGGTCCCAAAACTACCTTCAAGAGTCCCCTACAGAGCTGACTTCTAGTCTGTCTGGAGCTGGTGAGGAAGTGTGACTTTGAGTATGTTGGGATTGTGTGGCCTCCTGTCAGCACATTCTGGAAAGTGTGTTGGTGTATCTGAAAGATGGGAGGATTGGAATTAAAACCAAGC